CGTGCAAGTGGGTCCTTGTGACACACGGGGATGGGGGCAGCCAGCGCTCAACCTGTCATCCACGTGGCTGGCCTTGTACGTAAGAGGTTATGAACAGGTGGAGCTTTCCTTACCTCTTCCCCCTCCCCTTTTTTCCTTTTCCTTTTTTCTTTCCCCTTTTTTGCGCTCTGATTCACAATGTGACAATATATATATCGTCGTCGACGTCGTCATGTACATATATGTCAAGTTCTTATTCTTCCCTGCACTGTTCCCTCGTCGGACCTGTGTGTCGTCTCGATCCCAACGTTTGTCCTCCTCATATATACACGGTTTAGTCTCCTGATCGAGACGACAAACGTGTTCCCTCGTCGGACATTCTGTCTTCACGACCGGTGTGTCGTCTCGATCCCAACGTTTGTCCTCCTCACTGCAAGCCTCGACCACGTCCCGATCCCGATGTCCTATGTTCTCCAGTGTTCTTCCGCTCCACCTCCCGATCCCAACCCCCCCCTTTGCGTTACGGACGCTGATCTGTCGATTTTCTCCGAGTATTATTCTCTGTATATGTCCTCTCACGTTCGCTGAGCAAATTTAGGGGCTCGCTCACCGAATGTGAAAAAGACAAAAAGATGGTGGGCGCATCTTTCCACGTTCTAGCGGGACATTCATTCTCTTTTTTGGCACATATGATGAGTGGTGCGGCGAGGTCCTCAGCATCTTAACGAAGGGCGCTTCGACTTTGATGATGAGTAAAAATATAAGTATATATTTCGTAAACAGTTTTTTTCCGGAAAAGGTTTTGTATCAGTAAAAATAGGATGTAAGTATCAGGTGTTGTGGATTATCGTTCTATACAGAAAGATGGATGCGTTTGCAGGATGCAGATCCTATGTAGGTAGTTTTCATCTCTCTCCTGCTTTCTCTCTCCTCCCCCCTGCCAATCCCGAAGCACGTTTGAGTACCAGGCCACTTCCCCTCTTTGCCTTCATCAACCTCGGATGTAACGTTCACGGCACTACTTTCTCTCTCTCTCTCTCTGTGTCTCTCTCTTGCTGTCTCTCTCTCTCTACTTTTCTGTCTCTGTTCTCTCTTCGTTCCCTCTGTTTCTCTCTCTGTTCTCTCTGTTTCTCTCTCTCCCTCTCTCTCTGATCATCAGCCATAAGAATATGCAGCTAATGAAACGGGAGAGCACCAACTGGTCCTCTCTCTCTCTCTCTCTCTTCTCTTTCTGGTCGTTTTGTCTCTCTCTCACTACTTTGTCTTTCTCTGTTTCTCTCTCTCCGTCTCTCTCTCTCATCATCAGCCATGAGAATATCCAGCCAATGTAACGGGAGAGAAGCAACTGGTCCTCTCTCTCTCTCGCTTCTCTTTCTGTCTCTCTACTTTCTCTCTGTTTCTGTCTCATTCTCTCTCTCCCTCTCTCTCCCCCTCTCTCTCTCTCATCATTAGCCATGAGAATATCCAGCCAGTCAAGCGGGAGAGCACCAACTGCTCCTCGCTCTCTTCTCTTTCTGTCTCTCTCTCTCCCTGTCTGACTACTCTCTCTCTCTCTCTCTGTTTCTCTCTTTCTCTTTCCCCCTCCTCTCTCATTATCAGTCATGAGAATACGTAGCCCATGAAACGGGAGAGCACCAACTTGTTCTCTCTCTCTCTCTCTCTCTCTCTCTCTCTCTCTCTCTCTCTCTCTCTCTCTCTCTAGCTAGCTCTTTCTATGCCTATCCTTCACTCGATGAATCGTTGTAATCTTAGCCTCTTCTGTTATCCCGTCCTCTCTCTCTCTCTCTCTCTCTTTTTCTATGCCTATCCTCTTAGGCTCTTCTGTTACCCCGCCCGCGATTTCGAGCCTTCCTTGCCCCCGCGCCCGCTTCCCCCACTTTCCGGGCCTGCCTCTCCTCCCCCCCCCGCCCCCCTTTCCTCGACCCTCGATACAACTGTCCGTAGAATAGTAAATTCAGTAAATATGTAGTTGAAAACTGATACACGGGAGCGGAATGGTCATCTAATCAGCCCCTAGCAAGTACGGGGCACGCCGATCCGTGCAAGATGGTGGCCCATCACACGGCTATCCACCCGCGTGCTACGGTCTTCCCCTAATCGTGAATGTATACAATCTATAAATCCGGTCCGATACGGGCATATTGAGGACGCGTTGTGTTCGGGGGAAGACGGTAGTTATGATTGATGGTCGGGATGTTGCCTGACACCGTGGATGCTGCATCACGTGTCTAGCCTGCTGACGTGGCAGCCTGCACAAGTGACAGCCTGCTGACGTGGCAGCCTGCATAAGTGACAGCCTGCTGACGTGGCAGCGTGCATAAGCGACAGCCTGTTGACGTGGCAGCCTGCATAAGTGACAGGCTGCTTACGTGGCGTGCCTGCTGCGTACATCATAGCCTGCTGACACGTGTCTTGTCTGCTTCTTGAATGTTCGTGGAAGTTTCCATAAGAAAGCAACTGCGGCCATGGAGTAAGCATAACTCCCATACCCTCCCCTTCCCCTGACATGGAATCACACACACACAGACAGGCACAGGTACACGATCCTGCTCCCTCGTTCGCGAAGGAATGCTCAGGGCGTAATCACACGGGGACTTTTCTGGATGGATCTGGCTGCAGTTACGGCCACGGGTGGATGTATCTGACTGTCCTAGTGTGAGCATGCCCTCAAACACACGCACACACATACGTCGTCTCACGCATTTGTACGCACACACACGTACCAGGAAGCACCTAGACATATAGTCAGCCCAGATACACACAAAAGCACGCTATTCGTTGCTGCTTCGTTGCGTCTCCGTTCTTCATGATTGATTTTTTCGGTCATGTTTTTTATAATTGAATTTTCTGTGTATGCCGTGTTGGCTCCGCTTTCCTCTCGTCGTTTCATTGCAGCCCCGCGTGTCTCCTCCTCTATTGGGGGGAAAAGGGGAGAAGAGGGGGGGGGGG